TTTCTCTGTATCTGCACAGCGCCCAGCTAAAATAAACAGGTGCTCAGTGTTTCCTTTTAACTGTTTATACTATCATCTTAAAAAGGAAACGTTCTTCATGCACATCTTAAATGGCAGAGAGCATAAGCACAGAGGAACTTCATGAGCCTGCAGCTGCATTACTTCATCATCATTCCATTTTTTTTCCTCTCTAAATTTTGCCCGGGATGCAGATATTTTGTCTAGCTGTGTGTTTTCAATCAACAAAACAGTCCAGCTCCCAGAGACAAAAAAGGAGTAAGTAGAACATGCCATATGAATTAATATTTAAATCAAATAAAGTTACCACCAAGCATGTTAAGACATTTGGGGAGAAGGAAGAGGAAAAGAAAGAGGTTGTTGAGAGCCATGGCTCTGAAGAAAATCTGGATCAGCCTCCACTTACAAAACACCCTCCAGGTGTGTTAGACTACAACTCCCATCATCTCCAGTCAAAAGGACTGTGCCCTGAAGTGGAATGGGGGAGTGAAGCCCCTAAAGAACTGGAGGGTCACAATTATGGATGCTCCAACCCTTGTTGGGAAGTAAAGCTCCAGTGACAAGGTTGTATTCTACTAAAATATGTTGTTTTTTCAATGTTGATTCATAACAGAGTTGAAAGTGGCTATTATACTGTCTTTCCCCATATATTATGGATCAACACGTATTCAAAAAAGTATAAAACCAGAAGATTATTTTCCATAACGGAGGGGAGTCCGTGATTTTCAAATATGATGTATGCTTGCAAGGAAACAACATCCCAGTTTAATACTGCTTCAGAATTTATCCAAGCAAAGACAGTGCCAGTGTCAGCAGGCACCTTTGATCTTGAAGGGGGGGGGGCAGGGAGCACATGGCAACTCCCCGAAGCCCTTTGCAACTTTAGAACCCCCCCCCTAAGCTGGTCCGATGCAACCTTGCAGTATTGGGATTGGCTAAAAAAACCCTGCCGTGGGCAGCGGGCTTAAATAGCCAGCTCAGGGGAGGGATGCAGCCAGTCCAAGGGGAACTTTAGTCCACTCTCCTCTCCCAGTATGAACTTGTGTTTGCTAAATTGTCACAACTGGTGGACGGTTGGCATGGGTCCTGGATCTAGCTATTTACCAGTGCAGATGGGCACTTGCAGTTCTAAGTGGAGGAATCGTGGCTATTAGATACAGTGTAGCTAGATACACCCAGCCAGGGTGGTCTCACCCCATCATATTGTGGTATAGCCTGAGAGACTGCAGTTGTCTCAAATCAAAAAGTATTAACTCAATTGCAAGGGTGGCAGCAGGGAGGGGATCCAAGACCCATTTGGGTGCCAACCCTGATGAGCTATAACCAAATAAAGTTGTGGCCCATTAATTACCCAATACAGCGTTATCGGTGACTATGATTGCCATTGTGCAAGAGGCTGCCAGCATCCACAATTCCCTAGGGAAAAACATCTCCACATCTACAGAAAAATAAAATGGGCATTATTTCTACAATGGGGTAGCTTTTATGCGCAAAGGGTTATTATTATTTTTTAATTTAAAGATGGGGCACCTTTCCCTAACTTGATTCTAAAGCAACTCTACTCTACAAGGGATGCATACACAGCAGTTTTGTTTTATATGCTAGAAAAAGGCCTGAACTACTTACTTTTACCTATATGCACCCAAATTAGGAAACTTAAAGCCTTTAGAGCAAGTGCTCACCTGCTTGCATCTCTTCTTGTCACCACTCTCTTCAAACCACATAGAAACGCTTGTATTTTCCTCCCACGGGCTTTAATTTGCATTTCAATTGCTTCTCTAAAATGAAGCCAAGTCTTAGGACGAACATAACTTTTGTTTGTTAAGCAAAATTAAAATTGAACATTTGTACTGCAAACTAAATTGGATATTCAGATAACACAGCAAGATATAGAATAATACAAATGTCTAACTGGGAACCACTCCTTTCTCAATAACAAAAGGATACCAAGAGAAAACCATCTAGGGCATGGCATGCAATGGCAAGAAACAAAACAGCCTTACAAACTGCATACAAAGTGAATTCAGATTTAATCCCATAAAAAATAAAAGTGTCACTAGACTGTATCCAGATTTGGTCACATTTAGGGGCAATCAACTGAAATCTGTGGGGTTCATCATGACTACACCACTTGATTTCAATCATGCTAGTCTAATAATGACTGAGCCAGGATCTAAGATAAGAGTCATGAAGAAGATGCATACATTGATGCAGGAAAGCATCCTTAACTTGATGTCTTTGTTTACTCTTTGAGGCTTATAAGTAACCAGCTACAAGGCTCTGGAGAGCCAGCACCCACCCCTTGTTCTTGTATTCATCACTATTTGCACACCACAAGGGAGAGGGAAGGAATGCCATGAAGATACTGTAATCGGGGCAAGATTATAAACGATAGCAGCTCATTCAAAATGTGAGAAATATTTCCTGAGATGAACAATGTCCTACAGCTACTTTATTTTCCAGACCCAGCCTAGGAGCACACTCAGTCTCATTAAACTGGATCACTTTACTCAAATAATGCGATAAACATAAGGTAGCAAAGCATCCGCAGTATTGAATCCTAATTATTTCATAACGGATGTGGAAAGCTTAAAGGACCTACCAGTCAAGAATCTTTCTCAAAGAACATTGCTGCAGAAATTACCAACCTGAAGCTATATAAAGCTACATTCAGTGTTACTTAGTGATTAAATCATGCCTAGGTGCTTTTCAAAACTGTTGGCTTACATCTTCCATCACTCAATGTTGCTACAGGAAGTGGGAGGGCTGGGAATGACAGAAGTGCATTCCACCAAGAACAGAAGGCACCAAGTAGCAAAGCACTAGATCAAGCCATATAAGAATACTCTCCATACAGCCAGCAAAGCAATGAGTCCTTCCTCTTATTTACAGACTTTATTCAGAGAATCAACATTGTTTAATGCATTTATTTTCTGTCCATTATCAAAGATGAACCAGGTAGAGCAGAGAGGAATAGAGTATTGCTCTGCATAGCAGAAGGTCACATTCAAATCTCCTCCCAGATGTAAAGTTTACTATGACCTTTGACCATACCATCACCTATATCACAGTGTATTGGGGGAGAACAAAACAAATTATATCTGTCAGAATCCCTTGAAAGAAGAACACCATAGGAGAAACTGGAAAAGAAATACAGATCAAATGCTCATCTAAATCTGTTATCAACATTCTGAAGGTGGTGCTTTCTTACTGTATAAACCAGTGGTTCTCCACCTATGGGTCCCCAGGTGTTTTGGCCTACAACTCCCAGAAATCCTAGCCAGTTCACCAGGTGTTTGGATTTCTGGGAGTTGAAGACCAAAACATCTGGGGATCCACAGGTTGTGAACCACTGGGATAAATAGAATCTGTTTTGGCCAGTGTGCATTCCTTCTGTTCTCAAAAAGCAATGCAAGCTTCCCTAGCAACCCAAAACATAGCATCTCTAACCTACCCCTGCCACTCTATTTCAACTGCATCAAATGTGTTATCACTGTAACTATGTCCACTATGGAAATATTATTAACACTTACCGTATTTATTAACAGATGAACAAGCCATGATTAGAATCTGTATTTTATTTGTTGGTTCAAACAACAGCAAAAAAAGAATTCTAATTAAATATTTCCAATATTCAGCCTGCTAAAAAAAAAAACCGTATTTCATCACGTAATAGTCACACTCCCCTCTTTTTTGGGTGGAAGTGATGCAACTATTATGCAAAACAAATTTTGCAGCTACAGGGTTTACTTTGGCTGCCAGTCAAAGGAAACCCCATAACTGCAAAGCCACTTAAGCCAAGGCCAGTCTCCGTAACCCGGGGGGGGGGGGGGGGGGGGGGAGAGGAGACTGGGTGGGTGTTGCCCCTTTGCATAATAATCATGCCAATGAACTAAGGGTGTGACTATTATGTAAGGAATGTTAAAAAAATAAATGAGACTCAAAAAGGGAGATACAACTATTATGCGATGATGGCTATTATGCAATGAAATACTGCAGTAAAACATGGTGTTAAATGAAAAGTGATATTGAATAATTTCTTATTGATACATTTGTTATAGTGACACTGAAAAAGGGAACAACTGCATGCTCCCATTTGGTATTGTGAACACTACTGTCATTTTGGCATGCAGCCTTTGGAAGGTCATTCAACGAATAATATGACCCCCAACCTGGTAAACGTTGCCAGTCCCTTTTATACACACTTATCCAGAAATAAGACCTACTGGATGCAGTGGGACTTGCTTCTGAACAGCACTGTGTTCTGGTTACATATTTTAAAAACAAATTCCAATGTGCAAGGGGTTTTTTTTACAACTGATAAATATAGACAACCGTCATCAAAAATTTGCTTCTGAAGGACTAGAATACATATAAGGTGAATCACCTATCTGTGCCACATTTCCGATATTGTGGAAGCACGTTGCTTCTTATGCTATCTTACTGGAATTATATTGCCTTAGAATAGAAAGACATGAGGATGCTTAGTAGTATGACAGCATGTTTCCATAAATAAAGAACTGACTGAAATGTGATGTTGCACATCTAGGATGCAACTCTGCCCTCAATATTATCATGCAATTCTAGGAAAATCAACACTAAATATTTGATTGCAACAGTGAAGGCCTGCATTAGTGGTATTTTAGCAAAAGAGAGCTCACACTACTTGGCTCTTGTTGTACAACTGATTAAAACCACAAAATAAACATGTCTTTGATTCTATTCCATTCACCAAAAGTTCAAAGTTTTAAGTTTATATTTAAATATATTCTCCATATGCTGAAGTCTGATTAATTCAATTTTCTCAAAAGTACTCTTCTACCAAATTATAAAATATTTTCCTAGATTCTGTTAATGTACACATTGGGGATAGGGAAGGGGGGGAAATTTTGCTTAACCACCAGTTACAAATTTAAGTCTGCTTAATCTTATTCTACTAGGAAAAAATATGCTAGAAAAAGTATAATGAAATGCATGCTTACCTCTTTCTCTATCTTAAGGAGCTTCTTCACAGCCACCTCCTTTTCCTGGGATATCCATCGTGCTCGATATACACTCCCAAAACTTCCTCCACCGCAGTTTTCAAAAAACTGCAAGTCATCAAATTTAATTTGCACAAATGAAGTACTGAGAGACGACATCTCATAATGACAAAATACACCACGTAAAAAAAATCTGTAAGGGAGAGAAAGAAAACCTAATTACACTTTCACTGCCCTCTTCAGTTGCATCTTAGACTTTCCTTACTACAAAAAAATGCAAATAAAATCTCATTGGTGTGAAAAGCTGTAACTCTCACAGTGAATATGTATTCTCCTCAGACACCTGAAGCCACTTTTTGAAAAGAAACTGCTAGAAAATTCTCCTACTCTTAGATGCTGGTGCCCTTCAGGATGAGACACTTGTGTGTGTATGAGTGTTTGTGTGTGTACAGAGAGAAAAAGAGAGAGAGCAGTTCTCTCACAGTGACGTACACTGTCAAATGGGAAGCATGCTTCAACTGTGCTTGCCTAGGAGTTCTGGCATCTAGGGCATGCCATGCATCCACGTTGTGGTCACTCTGACAAACACACATAACCTAAGCCCCCGGACATTCTGGCACAACAAGCAGAGCTTGGATTAGTTGATTTTTTGAACTAAAACTGCTAGGGCCTCATAGCCACTGGGCACATCAGCTAGCAGATGCAGGAGTTGTGACCCCAAAAAGTAAATTTTCCATGCTTTAACCCTAGCCTGAGCAAGCCCTCTTGACTTTGAACATTCACTAACATGCTGATAACTTGATCTACGGTTTTGACAAAACTTGGCAAAGCACAAGCCTGTTCCAGGATCAGCTTAGTGGAGCCTTCAACAGCAAGTGCAAAATAATTTATCTTACTATGCGAATGCCAAAGCAGGCTTCTTCCTCTCTCTCTCTCTCTCTCTCTCTCTTTTTACAGTTATAAGAGAACATATCATATATCTTACTGGTAGAACCAGGCCTGTAGCGAGGGGGTGGTTTTAGGGGTTCAAACCCCCCCCCCCGAAATGTTTCAGATTTTTTTAAAAAACCTGGTTTACTCATGAATTTTAACTGGTTAACCAAATCCCCACGCTGTCTATGAGATGCAAAAAATTAAGAGTCCCTCCAGAACTGTAAGCACTATCTCAAGCAAATATTGACAATTTATTCACACTGTCATTACTTGCAGCAATAGCCGATGTAGTGAAGCAACCAAGTTGGGGGGGGAGTGTTGAATGCCCTCATTAAGGAGGCCAGGCTTGGTGGAGGTGGTTGACAGGGGCAGAGCTGCAGGCTATGGAAGGCTGCTCTGCCCTCTGCTGTGCTCTTTGCTTCAGCGTGAGCTAGGAGGCAGGTTTTAATCCCCCCCCCCGAATTTTTCAACCCCCCCCCCCCCAAAATTTTCAACCCCCTCCCCCAAAATTGTCAACCCTCCCCGAAATTTTTTTCTGGCTACGGCCCTGGGTAGAACAAAACATTTTTTCCTTTTAAGTTGTAAGCCACAGCTCCCTTCTTAACAAATTACCACTCAGCTTACAGTTCTTTTATTTGTGAAGTGCGACCTCTGATTTAAAAAATCATATTAAAACTGAAAATTCACTATGGTTGAAACTGAAGAGCAAAAATAAATTTCTCCAGGGCAATCAGTGTAGCTGCCAATTTTGGTAGAGGTTTAAAGTGAATTTATTTCACTGCACATCCGACTTAACAATGTATTTTTAAAAAAGCTAGACAACAAGCATAGCCACATAACACTCGGCTTAACAATTCTTGAACAATTCTGAACAAAACAGGGCACCTTCATTTTGCAGAGAGCATGACATATTTGACCCTTTAGTAGTGTCAATCCTTAATATCTGAGTTAGATTTGATAACTGAGGGGGACACTACATGCAATGATGTTCTGGCCACCAGAAAATAATTGCCAGTGAAGAGCTGTTTCAAATTATTCATTTAGTTATTACAATCATATCCTGCCTTTCTGTTAAAAGGGGAGGGGCGGTACCCGAGGAAGCTGACAGTAATAACATTGAAATAAAACAAATACAATTAAAACTTAAAAGCAAAATTAAAAACACAATTTTAAAATGCATCAAAGGAAAAACAAGTTTGGAGAATTAGAGGGTATAATTCTGCCAAAATCTGTTTCTTGACAAGGCAATATTTTTTATCTGAATGCAAAGTGACACAATGATATATTTACACACACTTCCTAGTAACGTCTTCTACAAACAGAAATACAATTCCACTTATGTAACACAGCAATCCTTCCAGATTCTCTCCTCTGTTCCCAGCTCAAACACATATAACTTCTCGAATATCCTTTAATTATTAGGAACTGCTTGTGGGTGGGAAGGAAGGGGAGACATACAACTGCAGAGAAGTGTGGGAAGTCAGAAAAGCCCTGCAGAGCAAGTGCAGCACTTGTCCTTCTCTTGATCCAGCCCCATGTAGATATACATACATTTTTCAGAATTTAGTGAGATGAGGCACGAAGTACAATTGAATACAGCTGGCTCTCCACATCTGTAGGTTTTACTTTTGTGGATTTGATTATTCATGGATTTTATTAATATGGTTTCTCTAGGAATCAATAGGTTCTCCTTCCAGTGGAAGTTGACCACAGATTTGCATCAGAGGATCTAGACAATCCTAAAAAAGATGTTGTGTCAGGTTTTAAAAATAGTATTTTTGATTATTATTTTTGCACTAGTGGGGGTCCTGTGTCCCTAAATCTAGTGAATGTGGAGGACTGGTTATAGCACAATTAATTCTAGGTTCAATTATATCTTGCATTTTTAAAATCTGCTGTTGATCAACAACTAAAGGAGACCAATACAGTTATTTCAAACTGTGGATAGGAAGCCACATGGTAATCACAGTGTCTACAAAATTGTGTAAGACCAGTGAATTTGAAGTAAAGGTTTCAACTATTGACAACTCCAACTGTTTTTATTTAGATGCTTTATGAAAAAATTAAAATACTAGCTAACACAGCATTCAAGCAATCTGTGGTATATATTATGCAATCATATGTGCACACATTTACACTTCAAAATATCTTTATTATAGCCAATGGAATTTCTGCTAAGTATACTGTCAAAGTTCAACTTCACTTGATTCATCTGCATCCAAAATATAACTCCTGCAGCCAACACAGGCTGAAGATCATGGGTCAGAGTAAAAGAAGTGTAGCAAGGGGTAACATACAAATGTCATAATTATGTAAGATTCAGAGGCTTCATATAGCACTGTTCAGGATACAGTAGAACCCAAAGATTGCTGTAAATTTTTAAAAGGGCTCCTGCAAATCTACTTATTATCCACACTACAGCAACATCACCCCCTTATGATATACAGCTTGAAATGCAACTTTGGAGGGGGGCATGACAGGAGCAACTGGGTATAACGGCCTATCAATCACCAGGCAAACACAAGCACAGAATCAAGTTCTGCACCTGTTATACCTACTGAGAGCCGTAGTAAGAGTTCCCTCTGACATTACACTGATGCAAAGAAGTCCTAATAATGGAGCTCCTTCCCACAGTATCAAAAGCCTTGGGTTCATTTAGGAGTCATTTGCATGGCCCCAATCAGGGAAGGGGTGACATCATGGGCCTCTCTCATGTAACAGTACATTCTGTCTCTCACTTGACAGAAGACAGACAGGACTTTCTGATAACACCTTCATAGTATAGGAAGGAACAACTCCATTACCAGCTACAACTCCATTATCAGCTCCCTCGTTCCATTAATAATAGTAGAGGGGGGCCTAGGATAATGTATATCAAGCACTTTGAACATGCTGAGTGGTTGTGGAACACTATATTTAATTACTTGTTTTGTATTTATGTATTCAGTCAGTAACACGCTTGGAGTAGGTTGCAAAAGTGTACCGCCGGTTTCTGTTGCCCTGTGTTCCTTCTATCTAAAATGGATCTGTCTCAAACACTGGGTTCATACAATTTTGTTTGCAGAAATAGCATACAGGGTCTGCATTTTATTACATAGGGCCTTCTGTGTGCATATGTCCTAATGCCAATGCAGAGAATAATAGAAGCAATTTAAGTTATTGAAAGTGAGTACATGATAGGGTCTCCGTAAGTTGGAAATGTCTTGAAAGCAGACAACAACAGCTCTCTCTGATGGGAGTCATGAACAGTTGGAAATTTTGCTTTCACTTTCTAGTTTTCAATTGAAATAGTTCTTGGGTTAAGTCTTGTTACTCTTCTCTGCACAATTCACTTTCTAGTTTGCTAGGATAAAACTGACCCACATTTCCTTGCAATTCATATGTCTAGAATTAGCTCCCAAGAAGGCAATTCCCAAAAGCTGGAAGACAAATATTTCAAGATGACTGCTAGATGTTACTATCTACAACAGCAATGCATAGAACAGTTGCCACTCCCTCTGCTTTTTTCTTCATCTTCTCCCTGTCATATATATAACAGTTGCCACACCTCCACCTTATGCTATTCACTGTTGTAAGCAAGGAGGCACATGCTGCGTCATGAACTCACACAAGGAGGCACAAAGTATATCCATGTCACATGGTCATGCTGTTTCCGCTTTGGCAAAGAGGCAGCTCTGCGCCTTTTGCAATGGTGATTAATTAAAATGGGCAAGGGAAGGGATGGTTCATACAGGAAAAAGGAAACAAACTGGTGCAATACCTATGTCAAAATCTAAGTTGGCACATGTCCCAATAGTTGATAGCATCTATTTACTACAGTGATTGATGTTGGAATCCACAGCAAAAAAAAAAAAAGCGGACATCTTAACATGATTGAAATCAACTTCAAGACTCTGCTAACTCCCCTTAGTTTAAGAATACCTGCAATTATGCTTCACTGAAATGAAAGAAAATGGCTGTCATACAAATGTGCTTGGGATCAGATTGGTTTGCCTCCCCTGGGTCCCAGTTTATTCCAAATCAAGTATTTCATTCATCCATATTTTTCCAAACTAAAGACATGGATCTTTCAGTATCAGCAGACATATACTGCATCTACAATGGGGGGAAAATGCAGGCAGGAAGAAGCAAAACAATGTCCTGAACCTCTGTGAGTCCCATGGTCCCATCATTTGCAGAAACACAATTGAGAGCTCCTAGCTGCTATTGTACAAGAGCCTCGGGGAAGGTTATGGCGATTGCCTTTGTTGTCTGGTGCAG